ATCTCAAGTCCTCATCATCATTCCTCTCCGCGCCGCGCTGCGCCATTCCAGGCCAAATTGCGCGTTTGATTTCTCTCTTAACTCGACTAATTGAAGGCGCTATCTCTTGTATCACCGAAAGAAAACAAAATTAGAAATTACTGTACTCTCAGGAAATGAGAGATTTTGTCGCCTTTTCTCGTTTATTTTTTTTCTGAATCCAATTTTTTTATACCGACATTGAAAAAAAATTGTAAAATTTGCTGCCATGGATCGCGACCCATGTGGCCTCCCCCAAATCTGGCCCTGGTTTTGACATGTTAAAGAAGGGGGGGGGATTCAAAAAATGGAATTGTTTCTCGTCCAAAACACAATGCGGTACTAAACGGTGCTGTTGCTTCAAAAACAACGTGAATTGTAACAGTCGCTGTTGCGATTCTTCGACGTGTCAAAACAAATAGTTTTTATAATCTTTTCAAAACATGTTAAAATACTTGACGAGCTAAATTTTAGCGAGATGTGCCGCTGTGAAAATGCGAATAACTGCAATAATATTTAAATTCGAGTGTCGTCAGATCATCCGCGCGACCACAACCAACCAAGGTGTAGCTGCTGCTTCATTTCAAAACTCTACTAAAACTTCTCCACAAGGTTATGACTGTTTCCTTCGTTTCTTTGCCGTGATATTTTACATTTTTTATTTATTTTTTGTTTATCGGTTTGCAAATTGCCTAGGCAATTCGCAAGCATTGCGGATTGACTGCGACACAAGCAAGCATTCGACGGAAAGTGAGTGATTAATCAGTCACCGACAAGTAAATACAAGAGGAATAACCAATAACAATTTTTGTGGAAGGAACATTGTGTAAACGGGTTGAGATCTCAATTGTTTCCCTCAGAATCAGCCCGTTCATATTTGCTTATTATTGGGCAATAAATTGAATTAACTAAATGTACTGACTGTTAGAAGCTTAAAGAACCACTTTATGGTAAACAATGAAATAATTTTTTCTTTAAATTCTCTAGAGATGACTCTGTCTAGACGACGAGATGAAAGAAATGTTCCTCAGAGGATACACAATAATTAGATAAAGTTTTAATGTTCGACTCCATTCCATTTGTGCAAGCACATGGACACGACCTTTCCAGACTTGATTCGTTAAAAGGGTAAATTCCTGGAATGTTTCACTTCACGAGTAGAACAATTTCCCTAGCTTTCTGGAGGTACACAAAACTGTGACCTTTGTTTTCTATGAACTCCAAATTGGAGTGTTTCATCTCCACCCTTCCTTCCTCTAAGAAAACTTGCAAGCATCAGAAACCCTGTCAAAATATCAACTCCGTCCTTCCGTATTACAAGAGAGCAGTATCGTTCAAATTTTCGAAATCAATATTCATTTATAATGCAACCGATATAGTTTAAATAAACTAACAGATTCAACTGCAAAATTCGTCTCATTTGTAAAAAAAAATGAGAGTTATGAGAAAGCAGTAAGTGCGAAAAATAGGCGTCGTTCCAGCCAAAGCAGCAGTTAGAGACATTATTCAACTGGTGAGCTGTATTTATTGAGTAAAATGATGTCCTATTTTGCCAATTTTTCACCTTGAAATAGTACTTAGATAAATCGGAAACGCATTCGTTCGACTCACCTTCATACCGCGCAATGATGCATCGTAATTGTTATCAGGCATTAGAGAGTAGTTATGATTTCGTTACCACGAACTTTGACAGCTTTCTGCGCCACTTGGACACTGACGGCCGGGGGAGACGAGAGGTGGATGAACGATGGTTTTCCGGAGTGGAAGCTTTGATTTATCTCACTCTATCAGTAATGCTCCATTAATTTTATGCACCTGATCCGACGCGGCGCGGCGTAGGTGAAGTGAAGGCTACAAAGCTCTGCGCGTAACAAAACTCGCAACTAATTGATTTTTACGGATGCTGGGCTCCGATGATCTGACGCTTGAAATTTTTCAAAGGCTGCGACTAATTGAGAGCGTTTTGCTATTAAAGCCTGTAAAATCAATCGACAGGTTTCAAGGTCCCCTCCCACGGTGACATTTCAAACAATACTATTGGACCTATCTATTTGAAATAGGTGCTTTCTTTTGAAAGGGGATCCGGGTAAAATATTGAGTAAATGCGTTTCCAGATTTTTTTTTGTTTGAAAAAGGATTAGAAGGAAATTACGGCAACGTCACCGAGGCATTTTTCGCTGAAGAGTCAATTTCAGAACTTTACAATGTGTTAATCATGTGTTGCGTGTAAAATGATATTCTAGTATGAACGTACCGAAATGATGTTGCTCGCGGACTGCAAATAATTTCATCCGTTAAAAGTCATCGGAAGAGTCTTTGACCTGAGGTTTTGGGGAAGTAAGGTCCTCCAACATCATCTTTTCCCACTAGGATCCCAAAACTTTCTTTAAGGGACGATTTTATGGTAATATTACGTTTTACGATAAAAATGTTTTCTTTTTTTTAAAATGAAAAGCAGTAAGAAGAGAGGTTTCGTTAAAGGCAAAAATCTACTTCACCCAAAATTTTTATGAATCCAACGTTTTTTGACGGCAGATCACTTATAATTAAGGAAAATAATTGGTTTTAGGAAGTCATTTAATCTATTCCGTGAGATATTGTTATAAACGTGGTTCATAACCGTTTTTCGTGGTTATTAATAATACATCGTTTCTCTAACAGTATGCAGGCAGGTATTTTACTTCAATTTGGAAAAAAAAAAATTTGATAAAAAAGAGGTTGAATCCTCGCAAAAATCATTCCGCTACTCCCTGCGGCGCGTTGATAAAAAAAAAAAGTTACACTAGGAAATAAAAAACTTCAAATAATCGTATTTCTGGTTTTTAAAACCATGTCATAGGCAGTATGTCTCACGGAAAAGATTCGATACCAACTAAAACCTGATATTTCGGTTTAGATGTATCTTTTATTGTCAAAAACACTTAGTTCTCAGAAATCCTGGGTAAGCCCATTGCCAGCACCCTTTAAAAAGCTTATCCGTTCATTTTTTAAAGAGCTTGATGCAAAAACAGCTTTTTTCGCCCCCCCCTCTGGAAGTTCTTCAGATTTTGTCTATTGATTACTCATACTTGAGCGCTTCTTTTCCCAAATTTTCAGACCCCCAAAAAATTTTGGGGGGGAGCTAGGGGGGGTGGAATTCAAAACCTATGAACCTCGATATCTCTTGAACAAAGAAAGATATCGAAGTCCGGTTTGGACGAAATATCGTCTAAAATTGCATACTTTAAGATTCTAAAGGTCGAAATTCCGATATCACATTTTTAAGTCAACATATGTGCTTTTTTCCAGTTTTTAGGTCTAGAAAATTTCTTTTAAACAAAAAATTTACAAAGATCTCAATTTTTTATTTGAACCAAAACCAGTTTTTTAAATTGTTCGTCTTTTTCCGCATCCAACGAGTGGTCCATTAAGCTGAGGAACCAAACGGTTCCGGAGTTATGATCGATTGAATTTTCCGCTCAACGCGCGCCGACCGATTTTCGCGCGCAAAAAAGTCGGATTTGACTGTTATTAGATCAGATTGAATGTTCAAACTGAGCAAAATGCTTAATTAGGGACTCTTGAGGGTCGCTGAGTTCAGAAATTACCGATACTTCCAAAAAATTCACGTTTTTAAAATTGCAGCTTCGGACAGGACCACTGAGCGGCCGGTCGGCGCTCAGTGGGCCTCTAATATAGCGCTGCGGAGCTGCAATTTTAAAAACGTGAATTTTTTGGAAGTATCGGTAATTTCTGAACTCAGCGACCCTCAAGAGTCCCTAATTAAGCATTTTGCTCAGTTTGAACATTCAATCTGATCTAATAACAGTCAAATCCGACTTTTTTGCGCGCGAAAATCGGTCGGCGCGCGTTGAGCGGAAACTTCAATCGATTATAACTCCGGAACCGTTTGGTTCCCCAGCTCAATGGACCACTCGTTGGATGCGGAAAAAGACGAACAATTTAAAAAACTGGTTTTGGTTCAAATAAAAAATTGAGATCTTTGTAAATTTTTTGTTTAAAAGAAATTTTCTAGACCTAAAAACTGGAAAAAAGCACATATGTTGACTTAAAAATGTGGTATCGGAATTTCCACCTTTAGAATCTTAAAGTATGCAATTTTAGACGATATTTCGTCGAAATCGGACTTCGATATCTTTCTTTGTTCAAGAGATATCGAGGTTCATAGGTTTTGAATTCCACCCCCCCTAGCTCCCCCCCAAAATTTTTTGGGGGTCTGAAAATTTGGGAAAAGAAGCGCTCAAGTATGAGTAATCAATAGACAAAATCTGAAGAACTTCCAGAGGGGGGGCGAAAAAAGCCGTTTTTGCATCAAGCTCTTTTTTTGAAACCAACGCCTGATGAAAATTTGGGATTTTCCTAACTTTCTCACACATTCTGAGATACAACCAGGTTATTTTCCAACTTTTAAAACAAAGTGTTTTACTTTTTTGTATTTTGGATACGTGATGCTTTTTTCTTAGGTTCTCTGACACCATGTTTTCACCGAGATTTCATCGCGAATACACTGAAAAACAAACTCCGGCCTCGGAAACCGCACCTGCGAGCTACGTGAACAACCCGGCCGTTCCGGGCTTAGAGGCCGAAAGCTCCGCGTGAAGCACCTGGAACGGTAGAAGTTACGGCTCTAGCACCCGGAACTTTCAGCTTCTGAGCCCGCACGGAGAAAAATTAATTGTTGCTTTAGCATTGAAAATGTTAAAAAAATGTGCGGCAGGTACAAATGTTGATTTTACAATTTCAAAAATGCTACGTTAACTACGTCCACGGTTATATGAACAAATTCAATGTTGAGTTAGCATTTATTTAACTGTAAAATCAGCATTTGATGCTTCTTGCACATTTTTTTAACAGTATAAATGCTAACAATTTTTCCGTGCGGCACGGACGGTATGACTACTTACCCATCAACTTTTTTTTCAAGGTAGTAGAATTTATCTCTGGCTTGGTATTGATCTGGAGAAAAGGAAAGGGTTACTTACTTTGTGGGTGTCCTTCAGTGTCGAGATAGGACTCCATGGCCCCGGCAAGCTCGTATATGGACGACAGGGCTGCGCACACTTTGCGGACTCGCAGCGGAACCTCCTCGATTGGATTTGAGATGCAGAGTGTGGGGGGCATTGCTTCCGTGACTCGGCCCATCAGTTGAACCGCTGCTAGCAGGAATGAGAAGATCACCAGTACACACCGCATCGTCGTAGGGGAGGCCGGCTGTCTGGATCTCCTGCAACATTAACGGAGAACATGAGAGATAAATGCACACCATTCACACAAACAGATCCATCTAAATTAGACGCTTTGAAAGAAGGATACGATCGGGTAAGTCGCTGTACATCATCAGTCCGTGCAGTGTAACGAGTTAGAGGGCAGAAGAGGGTGAGACTGGGAGACGACGGGGAGCTTAGGAAAGTCACGCGTAGATCACGCAAATTAAGTCGAAGCCAGTAGTGGCGTGGCGAGCTTTGCGATCTATCGATATTTCCCCATGTGAAGCTGCGGTAAATTATCGATTACTAATGTGTTTGTTCCGAACAGGGTGTTTATCGATACTTTTCCATAGGTTTCAATGACCGATCAATCGATATATCGCAAAGCACGTCACGTTAAGGACAAACGACGTATGAGCATTCGAATGTTGCCAGATCTCCTCTCAGAGGGAATATGTAGTTTTAAAGGAAGTCATTAATATTTTTCCTTGGAATTTATAGACACGCAGGATCAAATTACGAATAATATCTGAAAAATCGGACGCAGAATACAAACGTTCCAGAACATTCCTGATTTGTCAAATAAAATTTGGCAACGTCTAAAGGCTCATATGCTGCTTTTCCTTAGCAAGGTAGCATTATCCTATGCTCTTTTTAGTTGAGGTGTCACGCCTGAGAAAACCATCCTTTAGAAATTACAAGAAAGAATGACCTGTTGCGTCATATAAGCAAGGCAATATGCTTCGGAAAGGAAAATATAGAAGATTCGAAGATAGTACACGGAGAAAAAAACTTCGTGCGTGGGACCCGAACTTGAGGTCACTAGGATCTCTGAAGTTTTCGGATCACGTATCTAAAAACTTGAGGTCCAGCTGCCGAAGTTCGGGTCAGACATCTGAAGTACTTCGATATTGAGGATCTGATTTTGAGGAACTGAGATATTGAGGAACTTAATTTTTGTTGCAAACGAAAGCTTTTGATGATACCAAAATTCCGAAATTTTCAATATCCGCACTTGAAAGTACCATAATCATTCGCGAAGATAGTGCTAGGGGACAGGGGACCCAGGGGGCAGAGCCTCTTGGTTAGATGCGGAGGCGGGAGAAGTGAGCTGAAGCAGCTTGCTTTCAATAAAATCGGTTGAATGATGAGCTGTGTTTCTCAGAAGGGAATCGAGTGACATTATCTGTTGCCAAATATTGTTGAGCAATTTACTGGTTTGCAACAGAACGGTTAAACGGATTTTTTTGAAGACTGTAGGAATACTTCACGCATTGCGTTTAACAGTGCGGTCGGCGTCACACGCATGTTAGCGCCTACAAGACTGCTTGAATACTTCTCGCATTGCACCACATCTCCCATTGCACGGCAGCCGGCCAGCCGCGTAGCGACCACAGGCCTCTAGTTTATGATATATACTATGCTCTGCTTCGGATAAAATCTTTTTATTGCATGGTACCTTTTCTTTGCTACAGAGATAATTTTCTTTGTTGAAGCACTTTACTTTCCTTGGTGAATTCTAATATGCGTAAAGGTGTAGTAAATAAAACTTAGGCCGACCTGAGGTTGACTTAACGAACGTTCAGAAACATTCGGCAAAATAAGGACCTGCAAAAACGAACGAAAATTACAGAAAGTTTTCCCCGTGACATATTACTGGAATTTTTAAATTAATCGATACGAATAATCTCTTGTCAACAAAAAAAATTGTCACTTGGTGTTCTTTCGAAATTAAGATCCAAATGGCGGTTGCTATTTTTACTGAAACAATTAATGATCACAACAATTAATTGACACTATACCTTTTTGTGGTGTTTTCATATTTGTGACCGTTTGTCTTATAATTACAATCTTTTTAAGCAAGTTTCGAAGCCTAATTCCCTTAATCCTGGTCTCTTAATTGCTGGCAATTAAGAGACGTGCTTTCTCGGTTCTGCGCTCGTTGCGCGAATTAAATTCAGTCGGGTTTAAAATCGCCCCCCCCCCTCCAAAAAAAGAGAGCTGCTGATGTAAATAAAATTATACAAATTAAAATAAACAAAGATGCAGGTTGCTCTTTTTTTTAAAAATAAGGGTAAGCTATCTTGCGTTGGTATCAGCAGAGGTTCTTTACCGGGGAGAATAACTTTTAGATTGCTCGTGAAAGCGAAGTGAAAACATCAGGACAATTAGGCGGTATTTTTCAATTAGGTAAAAAGTAAAAACCCTCCTAAGAAAGCGGGGGACTCGAGCCCGAGCGAGAGTTAAAAAGTTAAGTTCCCAACTATACAAGAGAGGAGCTCAACTTCCAGGAACGCGTATTCAATTCAATCCCGCTGGTGGTCAGATCGTAACAAAACGGAGCGTTTTAATGAAATAAAAAGTACGGGAAGTTGAGAGTTAATCGCGAGATCTAGCGTTGGAGACTCATCACTTAGTTGTTTGCACCCCGCCCGCTGAGCTCCGCTGCGCGACATGAAACTTATGGATTCAAGATCGTTCTCATCGTCGGCTGAAATAACATCGATTGCCTCGGGTTGGTTGCCGATCCGACCCATTCCCGCACGTGGGAGATTACGATCAGAGGCAAGGGAAGAGAGAGCATGAAACGCCGAATACTATCTTGCAGCAAACAACAGTATCCCTACACAATAAAACTTATGAAGAATTTTCTTTGAAAAAAAAACCATCGGAATTTCCCAAAAAGGCCGCTTTCAAGAGGGAAGAGGACAAATGGATTACATTTTGCAAGAAGGAACCAGTAGCAGTAGCGTGGCGTGCTTTGCGATATATCGATTATTCTGCTATTTAAACCTATGGTAAAGAATCGATTATTAAGGTGTTCGCTGCGAACACCCTGATTATCGATCCTTTTCCATTCGTTGAAATGGCATAGCAATCGATATATCGCAAAACGCGCCACGCCACTGACCAGTAGTTCTGGCTCATTTTAGAAACAACGTATATGGCATCTGTTTTCCTATGCAGAGAGGTGCTTTTATGGAAGTGTCAGAGATAGTGGTTCCTTATTGCAAAATGTAATCGAAATTTTCACAAAAAACGGCGCACAATGGAGCGAGTCAGTGGGAAAAGTCGGACAAAATGAGGAAACTTTAAAAGCTCGAATCACCGTTCGTACGAAACGTTGAGGTTTAGAAAAGGTTTCATTGGGTTTTTGGTAAAATTTTCTTTGAGAACCACTCCTTAAAATTGAGAATGAAAATGTTGCATGTGTGAGGAATTTGCGATTTGACTGTTGATTCATAAGTAAAAGTTCGGGAGAAACACGATGGTGCCACTGGTTCTCTCTGAAATCAACTCCCAAGCTCAAAAAAAGCTCTCAAGTTGAGGCGAAAATGGAGGGGATATCCCATGCTATCCTGAGAGTCCACCTCTACATCAAGACAAACTCTCCATGCAAAGATAAGGAGCAAATACATTAGCAGGGATGCCGTGTTTTCAGTTTTAGAGTCCCCAAATAAAAGGGCAACCCTGTCAATGCATTTGCTCCTTATCTTTGCATAGAGAGTTTGCCTGGATGTAGAGGTGGACTCTCAGGATAGCGTGGGATATCCCCTCCATTTTGGGCTCAACTTGAGAGCTTTTTTTGAGCTTGAGAGTTGATTTCAGAGAAAACCAGTGGCACCATCGTGTTTCTCGCAAACTTTTACATAAGAATCAACAGTCAAATCGCAAATTCCTCACACTTGCAGCATCTCCATTTGATGAAATAAATAAAAGCTATTGCAGTTTTGGTTAAAACAATTATGCCCAACCTCTTCCATTTACTCGATCCACTGAGCAGCGCCTTGATCCCACTCTTCTGTGCATAGTCCTGTGTTGTTTTCATGATTTTTCAAGCTTCTAGGTTTTCAGTAATTTTATTATCAATTATGACATGGGCTGCTGGAATAGTCGAGAGGTCCTACGTTTTATGATCTGTCACAACATAAGGTCCAAGCGTAATTTCTTAATTATGAATTATTAGCGTTAGGGATGGATCGTTTTTAAAACAACTTTTCCGGCGAACTTTTTCCGTAAAGTATTTTCAAAATCGCGATTCTTTGTTTCCTGACTTTGAAATGTTCTAATGGAATTAAATTCTTTGATATTCGTATGCTTTTTTACCAAAAACAACCACACAACACAGAATTAGCCCCACTAAGTTGTAATATAAGCTGAAGCAGGGCGATGTTGTAAGTCGGCAATCACATAACTCGTTTGCGGTGTCTAAAAATCTCCGCTCTAAGTTATATTTTTAGAAGAGAACAAATTGACATCATTCCTTCAAGTTTTTGCAGAATTTTCTTCGCACAGAGAAGAAAAATCACGGCAGTTTTAAAGAATTGCCGTTGAGTAGTTTTCCGTTAAAAAAATAAAGTATGATAAGAAATCTGCGACGTCGCGAACCGAGTTATGTGATTTCCGACTTACACCGTCGAGGGCTCTTTCCTCAGCATTCATCATGAATAAAATGGCGAACTTGGCAAGACTTGAGCGGACTGAATCTTTCCGATGAATTTGATCCGCACACGACACAATTATACGAAAGTCCTCGCCGAGAGGCGATTGTGTACAAGCAGAACAAAGTAATAGTTGAGCTGGAGTCAACCCGATATGTCTGAGGAGCTGGCTCATTTCAAAGGCGAGCTACGGGATCCGACCGGACCGTTTGAGAGGCAACTTCCTCGGACCCCTTTCGCTAAAAAGCATGACACTAGGATTTTAGGATCAAAGCTCCGGACTCGCTCACTCGGAAGTTGGGAGGGAAAGTTCTCGGCACTAGGAAGTTGATTCCCAAGTCGGCGGCTTCCGAGAGTTAAGCGAGCGCGCCGCGGCAGGCAGGACCAAATCCCTGGCAAGACAAAGTAATCAATCAACATGGCGTTCCCTTAATCGGTCAATTGAATGTTTTTTAAACACTTCCTTCCTCCTGTTCTCTTGCTTTCCCTTCCTCCCGTCCGCTTTGGTCCGTCTTTTTTCACCGCGTTCCGTGTTCAACCCCTTCACGCCGGGCTCGACCACGTGTATTGGCACA